GAAATAGATAAGTAGATGAAACGATGTCGTAAGGTCTCGGAGACCGTATATTGTATTATAATAATAGGCAGGCTATTACAACGATTCGTTAGGACACTAGTAGTGGAAAAGTAGTGAACATGTCCTAAAGGGACAAAATGAGGGATATTTATACAAAATAAACCCTTAACGGCCCCACCTAAACCGGTGGGTGGTTACATCTCCCGTGTTGACCCCGCCCGGACCGAAACCGGGTTCGCGGGTCATCCGTGCAGAGCTCACCATGGCCGAGCTCATAAGGCTGAGCTCACATGGCCGAGCTCACATGGCCAAGCTCATGTAGGGCCGAGCTCATATGGCCGAGGTGCCTTGGGCCGAGGTTGAGCCCCGTGCTCGGCCCAAGGCACCTCGGCCATATGAGCTCAGCCATGGTGAACTCAGCAATATGAGCTCGGCCATGTGAGCTCAGCCCTATGAGCTCGGCACGACTGACCCGCGAACCCAGTCTCGACTCGGGCACGGTCAACGCGGGAGATGCAACCACCCTCCAATTTAGGGGGGGTCGGTTAGGAGTTTATTTTGTATAAATACCCTCATTTTGTCCCTTTAGGACATGTTCACTACTTTTCCACCACTATTGTCTTAAATTCCTAACGAATCGTTGTAATAACCTGCTTATTATTATAATACAATATACGGTCTCCGTGCGACATCGTTTCATCTATTTATCTATTTCCATAATACGTTCTTTATCGGATTAGTGTCGGGTCCACCCCGGATAATTAAATCCATCATATATAATTGCGATTGATCATGGATCGAAATCTATATACATAAAACCAAAAGCATGGAAAAATAGTTTTGCCAACCAAGAAATGAAGTTAATACGTGGATACATGCAACAAGAACCATGACGCATCAAATGCTTCGCCAGGCCACCCAAGAAATGCAAGTGATGCATGGAATTTGCAATTTACATTCTTTCCATGTCAGATACGTGGAGGTAGATTTGCAGAGGCATAAATATTCTAACCTCTGCTGACCATACAATTAGCTCTTCTAAATTTTCTCTCTCACCTTCTAATAACAGTAGTAGTAGACCTAAGATTATTAATAATCAGTGGACCTAATAATCTTCTCTCTCTTCTCAAAGATAACATCAACAAACCTTGGATAACCTTAATAAACCTATACAATATCTCTTCTAATAAAATTAAATCATAATTCATAAGACAGTTTCAAATTAAAATGAAATATATATTTTTATCAAACTTAAAATAATATAATATTTATAACATCATAATACTCAAAATATATTACTCCGTATTTAACATTCATGGTAGTACATTTAAATCATTAATCAATCATTACTATATAAATCTCCAACAAGTCTATCCATGTTCAACCATTACCCAACCTTAATCATCATCATAGGATTCGATGAAGGTTCTCATATGCTTCTTCCAATAGTTGTAGTTTGTTTTTTTCTTATAGTCGCGTAGTTAAAGGAAGAAACTAAGACATCTAACGAATATTATAAACTATTTTTTTTTTTTGGTGTATCCAGAGTTTCTATCGTCGGACACAATAACCTAAAGTAGAACATAAAATTCACACACAATAACAAATATAAATAGCACGAAAAGGGACTAAGACAACTAGCGATATGAAACGACTCAATCTACTATACTTTATTTTATTTTATTACGCGAGACTTAATTAGAAGTTTATACAAGAGATTACAAAACTTGAATTATATATTGATGTTGATCTCATGCAACACTAAGTAATTGAGGACACGAATTCCTCGTTCATTAGGAATCTTCATGCCTTTATGGCAACTCCATTATTTAGGTGAACTCATGTTATAAAAAATAAGAAGTGTGACTTTTTCATAGTTGAATTCTACTACCCACCAAAGTGCTAAGAATATCCATGAGTAAACAAATATATATGATCTCTATTGAAAATATTATGATTAACTCAATATTTTTACAATTTTGTCTCCAGAACTATATGGAAAACATCTTGAATTCTCATTTTGGGTCTTTCCTCATGATGAGAACATGGATCCCGAGGGACCATTTTATTGAGAAAGTGTTAGCCCAAGTAGGGTGTCTATTTTTATGCTAGGAAATAGGGAAGCGGGGCAAATTATTGTGTGGACCATGGTCCACACAATGTTATGTGGACCATAACAAAAAGTACATTTTTAATATACTAACAGGGCGTTTGGTTCACTGTAATTTCGTTGTAGTTGAATTGCAATTCAATGGATGCCTCAAATACATTGTTTGGTTGGAAGGAATTGCAATTCCCTCCTTTTGTTGAATTGCAATTCATGAGGTACCCTCATGAATTGCAATTCAATGAATTTGAGAAAGGAAAAACAAATGAAATGACACTACTACCCTTAGTTGTTATTACTATTATTATTACACAAGGGTATTTTAGTATTTATACCACTTCATTCCTTCTCAACTCCAAAATTCTATTTCTCCCACCAAACAACGTAATTTGAATTCCTACTTTATTCCCACCTTATTCTTTTCCCACCGAATTACAATTTTTTTCCCCTTAATTCTTTCCTTCTAATCAAACACCCAGTAAATGTACATTATTTTTGTACTGAATGTACAATATTTTACAATAGACAAAATATAGTCCATACAACTTGTGTGGACCATGGTCCACATAATTGGGGAAGCGGGGTGTCCATGTTCGTAATAAAAATGAACACCCCCCTTAGGCCAATACTTTTTCAATAAAATGATCCGGGATTATCCCATGTCCTTATCATCACCTTGTAAATCAGATTCAAATTTGTTTACTTGTATGCCGGAACAAGATATCTACAATCCCTTGGATTCTACTCAATATATGGAAGAAATCTTGAATTATTCCTCGAGTTTTGCTTTTAAAAAAAAAATGAATTTCTTATTCCCTTTGAGCATTGACATATACAGATTTCGTCCAATAACAACAATAATACACATATACTAACCGATGTGGTCACGTGGGAAAGAGTCTCGGACACGCAAGTTGTAAGAGGCGCTAGTGCTAGGAGGGGTGCTTATATTTCCAATCCACTTTGTAGAGTTTTAACCGTTTTGATACTAATTGTTAGAACCAAACGTTTACTACTATATCAAAAGTTATAACTAGTAGTGAATGTACATGTAGGCTCTGTTTGGCAACGCTAAGCTAGGAGTTTATAGCTTATTTTAAGCTACTAATAAGCTATAAGCTCTGTTTGGTAATGTTTTCAAAATAAGCTCCTAGCTTAAAATAAGAGCTTATTTTGGAACGCTACTTTAGGTGGCGTTTCAAAATAAGCTACTAGCTTCCTAACTTTTTTTCCATCTTTACCCTTATTATTTTAAATAATGACATATTTTAACCTTATGAATTAAAATCCTTTCTCTTCCCCTATCCCAACTTTCACATCAATCCCTTCCTTAGTCTTGTTTCCTGCTAAACAATTATGTTGAAACTTTAGCTTATTATTATTATTATTATTATTATTATTATTATTATTATTATTAATGTTATTTTTAAATTAGCAATATGGCTTCAACGAATGACAACTTGGATGGAGAGAATTTTAAGTGGACAAACGAGAACGTGATGCTTTTTTTTTTTTTTTTGTGAGATTTGTATCAAATATATTCGAAAGAATTCACAACAATATTGCTACTTCATCAACGAAAATTTAAGTCACACCTCTATGGAGATGAAGGAGATTTGCAACAATATTGCTACTTCATTATGGGATGCTAGATCATGATCATGCTAATAGTTTTATTTTCAAAAGTGTTTACTTTTTTTGGAAGACGAAATGTTAAATTTTAATATGTAAACAAACTAATTTAAATTTTATAAAGATGTCCTTTTTAGTCTTTTTACATTTATCAGCTTATCAAAAAGCTAATTTTACCAAACACTTTCAATCATAACAGCTAGCTTAACAGCTCTTCAATTTTCAGCTCCGAGCTTATAGCTTTTCAGATTTCAGCTCCTTTTCAGCTATCAGCTCCTAGCTTATAGCTTTTCAGCTAGGTTTGCCAAACAGAGCCGTAAATTTATTTATTTATATTTATGTAACAATACGTCAACACTATCTTTTGATGGTAGGAGTCTAGACTCGTCTCTCTGAACCTCTATCCAACAACAACCTAGCTATGCGATTGGTTCCATACTTCAATTGCTATAGAAGTGTATTGGTGATTTTGTACATAAATAAGTAATAATGGATTGAACTATAACGTGGATGTGTGCTTCACAATGACGCAGAATAATAATTTCTCCAATAGTACAAACATAATTTGGCATCCCACTTTATTGGTAGAGTGGATCCAATTAAGATCTTATATTATAAATCCCAACTATGAGTTTGAGTTTTAAACCCATTATTCTTTGATGAGGTTATCACTGCTGGAAATTTTGCTATTTCCGTCCAACAAAAATTGGACGGAAAATGGAGATTATTGGTTATAAAACGGGTTTCCGTCCAAAATGAGACCTCAAAAAAATGAATATCAGTAATTTCGTCCAACATCAGATGTCGGTTGGAAGTTACGTCCAACAGGTCAAAGTTGGACGGAAAATCTTGATAGTAACCCACCATTTTTAGGATGAGAATTTCCGTCCAACTTTGACCCGTTGGACGGAAATTCTGGATGACAATCCACTATTTTAGGATGCATGGAAACTTCCGTTCAACTTTTACCCGTTGGACAGAAATTCTGACCAACAGGTTGGTCAACAATTGTGACTAATTTTGACCCGTTGGACGGAAAATCCGGATGGTAACCCACATTTTAAAATGACAATTTCCATCCAACTTTGAACCGTTGGACGGAAATTGTGACCAGCAGGTTGGCCAGAATTTGTAACCATTGATTTTGACAGGAAAATCTAAATTTATATAAATTATTTTTTTTTATTTTGATCTTGCTATAATTTTTTTTACATGTTGTCAATACATTCTATATCATAAACAAAGTAATGTACACACTATCTAAATTCAAAATGAAAATACTTAAATATCAAAATTATTTACAACCAAAAGATAGTATCATGTGCATAAATATTTAAGCAGTGCACTATTGCCATACACACCCAAAAAAAAAAAAAGTCATAAAAACATCAAGTACTTAATCTTCATCAGAAGCAGCTTGTGTTTCATCATTTAGTGAGCTGGAGTTGTTCAAGTTTAAAGAACTTAACAACTCAGGATTTGCACTGAATTGTGCAAATATAGTACCCATCTTTTCAAGTTCTTCTCTGATAATCTTGTTTTCTTCCCGAAACATTTTGTTTTCTTCCCTCATTTATTGAATTTCTGCCATCAAAGTTGCATTTGAAGATGATGCTCCAGCCTGAGATTTTGATTTCTTTGAAGCTTCAGGAAAATAGTATTCCGTATCTGAGCCAAAGCCATATACGTTCCCTCCCTTCTTTACACCACCGGTGGCCTCCAACCACAGCTCTACATCTGATGCGTCAGTTTGAGTCTATCGCAGTTCATTCATTGTATCCTATAAAGTAAAACAAAGTATTTTTATCTACTAAAATAATTCAATATGACACTTTTAATAGAGGTTATATTACAAAGATTCTTACCACAACTTTTTGAGCTTTTGGACAAACATATGCTCCATCTCCATTCTTCCGTTTATGAGTGTGTTGATACAAGTCTACAATACTTGGATCTTTTCCAAATTTTTCTTTCTATTCAAGAATAATACAACATATTTAGTATAATTTTATAAGATAAGCTATTTAAAAAAAAAAAAAATTCTTCAAACTTACCAATCTTCGGCGATGTTCAATCATAGAAATAGAACCACAACTGTGAAGTGATGCACCTAGTCCTTCAAAATTTAAATTTCTATTAATCTTGTTTTTCTCCGAGAGCTTTTTGAAATCATCACTCTCCCAAATGCGGACCAAGTCATCTAGCACATCATTAGGAATCCACTATGGTTTGATTTTGTTTGCTGTCAAGCCCACACGAACCACTGTCAGATGGTCTATAAGGAGTTTTGCACCTCTTTTCTCAAAGATACGGCGTACAGTATTATCCTCTAGTGGATCTCATCTATAATGTTTCTATAATCATCAAAACTCTAAATTAGCAAAGACAAGTAATGTTTTATTGGACGGAAATAGCGAAATTTCCAGCAGTGTATATTCTTTGTGATTTTTAAGTACAAAAATGTATATATAAAAGTACACAACATTATTATTATTATTATTATTATTATTATTATTATTATTATTATTATTATTATTATTATATATCCACCCAAAACAAATAAATATAAAAATATTTGAAGCCAACATATTTGATTTTTAGTTCTCGATTAACAAATAAAGAATTGTAGGATTGCATATACTATAACCACCATATATATTTGATGTTAACATAGGAACTGAATAAGGTTGTTGTGTGTGATATATATATATATATATATATATATATATATATATATATATATATATATATATATATATATATATATATATATATATATATATATATATATATATATATATATATATATATATATATATATATATATATATTTATTTATTTATTTATTTATTTATTTATTTATGATAAAACTAGCCAATTGGGTCATAACGTGCGTTCAATGTATGTGTGTTTAAAGGGTATATTGTAAGATGATTTATTTATTGTTTAATATGATAAATATGAACTAATATATACATCTAATTATACATGTTTAAAGAACATCTCATGGCTTGACAAAAAAAATAAAATACAAATTTAAAACTTGGAACAACAATATAGAACAAAGACACAAGCTGTCTAACATTTGCATCATTTATTTCAATGAGTGATGATTATTGGAGCGATTGAAAATGAGATTTCAATATAAGTTTTTTTAAAATATAAAAAAAAAAAAAAAAAAAAAAACCATTGACATGTTATTTTCTTTTTCTAAAATCACTACTTAATGGCCGCCAACGCTATGTGTTATTTTATTTAATGCTATTAACTCTATTATAATGCACAAATAGTGCATAGCGCCACGGCCGCCACCTCTCATGTAGGAGTTCAACTTGGTATCATTGGACCACAAGGTCCTTGAATGGGTAGGCTACGTGTTATTGTTTTTATAAGTTTTGAAAAGAAAAAAAAACTCTTTATTCTAATTAATTAGTTATTTGTAAACTGATCAACCTCATTACAAGTTAAAGATTTACTTAGCTCAAAAGTTCAGTAGGCAATATTTGGGAGAAGGGACCAAAGTTTGAACCTCGGTTATGGAGATTATGTCACCGTGATTTACATCCTTTCAAATGCTCTGTCAAGTCGGGATTGAGGATTCAATCATTTTTGAGAAAAATAAAGATTGGTGTAACAGTTAAATTTAAAAAAGAAAAAAAAAACAAAAAAAACAAAAAAAACAAAAAAAACAAAACAAACATATCAATAAATAAATATTATTAATGAATGATAGACTGATAGTTGTATGTGAATGTACAACATGATTTGACTTTTTGAGTTTTACATCCCCCTTACGTTTAATGAGTTGAAAAAATTATTTTCAAATCATTAAAATTCAAGATTGACATGTGATACATAAAGCTATGTATTTAAAATTGAACAATCAATATATAATGAGAGCAAAGTTGTACCAAACCAACATAGGATATTTCAAAATATTTTTTTAAAAATTTTTAAATTGAACTCTTTGAAATCCTAAGTAGAATATCTGTGATCTTATAGTGTAGTCTAGAAAATAAAAAGTACAATTCCAATGTACTGTTTGGTCACCTCTTGTTAGGAAGTCCAAATCCATATGTCATATTTGTCACCTTGATGAAGGCATGCACAATCTTATATAGTTTTGAAACCTTAATTCACACCACCAAACAGTCAAGCATATAATTAAGTATACTAAGAATATGGGGCAATTCTTGTTGGAGCTGTCTATTGATATTCTTGGTTTGAAGTAATTCTTTGTAACTGTAAATTTTTCTATAAATCAAAGTATACTAAAAATATGCTTAATTCTTCTTGTTCGGCGGGGCGTGTTCATGTTTATCTTCTTCGATGAAACTGGTATGCAGAGGGTACTCGATGAAGGGCCGTGGTCGTTTGATAATAACACTCTGGTGTGCTGGCAGGTTAAGGCGGGGATTCGGCTGGCGGAGGTTGAGCTCACCTCTGTGGACATGTGGGTACAATTGTATGATTTACCGTTGGGTTATACTTCGAATGTGGTTCTTGAGCAGGCGGCCAATTTTATTGGTTCGTTTGTTAAAGTGGATGATCGCTATGCTGGGGCATCATGGAAAACGTTTCACCGAGTCTGAGTTTCGATCCCGGTTTACAAACCCTAAAACGAAGGATGAAACTTATTAAAAGAGATAAGACAAGCTGCTAGGTAAGTTTTCGGTACGAGCGACTACATAGCTTCTGTTTCTATTGTGGTTTATTGGGGCATTCATATAAGTTTTGTAAGCTAGCAAGAAAGTCAGGGTTAACGCCGGGTCAATTCCCTTACACGGCTAACTTAAAGGCTGGGGGAGGTAGTCGGGGACCGCGACAAGTTAGGGAGCCGTGGTTAATTCCTTTGGAGGGGAAGGGGAGGGGTGCAGTGGGTTTGGACGGGAAGGTGGCGGTGACGGGTTCTAGGAGGGGGGAGGCAGTGCAGCCGGGAAGAGGGAGGGATGGTGAGGGGGCGGCGGCGGTGGCAGTTTCGAAGAGGAGGAGGGAGGCGGATGGGGAGGTTGGACATTCGGGGGTGGATATGGGTGATGTGATAATGACAGAGGTGCCAAAAAATGGGTTTACAGCGGGTCCTGTTGTTCAGGCCCGCCCTTCATCATGAGTACGATAAGCTGGAACTGTCGTGGCTTGGGCAATCCACGGACAGTTCGAGAAATAGTGGACCTGGTGTCCCGAAAGAAGCCCGATTTCGTCTACTTAATGGAAACAAAAGTAGGACGAATACATGCAGAGAGACTACGTGTTAAGATTGGATTTGAAGGCTTGTTCTATGTGGACAGTGTAGGTGTGGGGGGTGGCTTGGCACTATTATGGAGGAGGAATAATACTGCTAGGCTATTGAGTTTTTCAAAAAAAAAAAACATGTGGATGTGGAGGTTGCTATAAGGGAGGAGATATGGCATATGACGTGTTTTTATGGGTACCCACAGAGGAGTAGGCGGAGGGAGGCCTGACAATTGTTGAGTGGATTGAAGGATAGGTTTACACTACCATGGGTTGTATTGGGAGGCTTCAATGATCTTCTGTATCAGCAGGAAAAGAATGGGGGAAATCCACATCCGGATGGCCTACTAAGAGGTTTTGGGGAAACGGTTGATAACTGTGGCTTAATCCAACTACCGATGAGAGGGCATCAGTTTACATGGGAGAGAGGGGAAGGTACGGATGGGTGGATAGAGGAGAGATTGGATAAGGTGCTGGTAACGGCGCGATGGACTGATATGCACGGTGGGGCTTGGGTTGAGAATATCCAAACTCGTAACTCAGATCATTCGGCTCTCTTTCTAAACACTAATATAACGACGGTGCACAGACAATGGGGGCCGAGGGGTTTCCGTTTCGAAATGGCCTAGGTCCATGATGATGGTTGCAGGGAGGTGGTGGAGACTGCCTGGCAGGATGGTAGGGACAGGGGATTGCTGAATTGTCAGCAATATTGTGGTGGTAGGCTCATGCGATGGGGCGGGGAGCACTGGTATAAATTTGGTGACTGTATGAAACAATTGAGAAAGGAATAGGATGCGCTACGACACTGGCGGGATTCAGCTGCATTAGCTGAGTTTTGGCGGCTGGAGGAGATGCTTGGCTAGGTGGAGGTTCTGGAGGATGTGTTTTGGAGGCAGCGAACTAAGCAGCACTGGCTCCGTGGTGCAGACGCCAACACAAAATTTTATCACAGGTATGCCTAAACGAAAGAATTATATTCCTAGATTAAAGAATGAAGTTGGTGATTGGGTGGAGGGGGAAAATATGAAGAGGGTTATTTTGGATTACTATGCAGCTATTTTTACCTCTTCTGACTCTGTGTGTGAGGATCCCATGTTTGATGATTTTACTCCCCGTGTGACTCATTATCAAAATATTGCTTTGTTACGACCCTTTGTTTCAGAAGAGGTCAAGAGTGCTTTATTTGCAATGTTTCATGACAAGGCACCAGGACCGGATCGTATGAACCCGGGCTTCTACCAACAGTTTTGGGATATAGTTGGGGGCGATGTGTCTGATTTAATTATGGATTGCTTGAATTCTGGTACATTCCCTGAGGGTTTAAATGATACTAATGTGATTTTAATTCCTAAGAAGAATGTACCTGAGACGGTAGCTGATATGAGGCCAATTGCTCTAAGTAATGTGTTATATAGAATTATGGCTAAAGTAATAGCCAATAGAATGAAACCTCTTATGGGGGACCTAATCTCGGAATCCCAGAGTGCTTTTATTCCTGGAAGGCTTATTACTGATAATATTCTTATAGCTACGGAGGTGGACCATTATTTAAATAGGAAACAGTGTGGTCTAACAGGGTGGGGGGCTTTGAAATTAGATATGGCAAAGGCTTATGATCGAATGGAGTGGAAATTCCTGCGAAGAATGCTGGAAGTTATGGGGTTTGATGATCGTTGGATTAATATGATAATGCATTGTGTTACTACATTT